CATTAGGAGATCAGCTTTCAAGGAGTACTCATTTATTGTGACCTTGTGCCAGACGACGCTAATCTTAGTAACTACCTAAATTGATAGATATGCGTGGCATGCGCGCAAACATGTATCAATGCACCCCGTAATCCATATGTACAGCAGCCATAACAGAAATAGCAGTAGTAACATGAATGGGTTTGACTGGGGCAAGATACAGAGGTAGCCACCCACACAGACTCACAAATTACCATCAAAATTTATGTATAATGAAAATCAATCTTATACATAAAATTCATTTTCTGTCATGATTTGCCCTAGACTGTAAAGGTCAGAAAAAACCTGTTGGCTAGAGAAGAGGAAACTCTTTGAAAACGTCAATATAAATACCGATTTTTTTTTCTTTTACCAATGTGTTATTCTATTTTGTTCTCAGTTTCGTTGTTAGGTAGTTGGTATCGACAGAGAAGTTCTTCATTCCACAAAATAGTTTTCTCTCTTAGCAAATCATTTCTCTCAAACATGACTGCACTTGCAATAAGATGGCTTCTCCTATAACAAGATGGCGACTCTCCACAAATAGTAAAAATGGCCTATGGTAAAAATGGCCGTTTTTCCTACAAAACATTTTTTTCACGAAAGTTAAAGCCACACTCTCTTGTATAGGCAATAAGAAGATTTCGTATTAGAGACTGGCTCGATTAAAACCCATAATCGTGGAATTTTTTCATTATTTTATATGTTTCCAGATTTTTTATTAGACCGTCCAGCTTTTAATTGTCGTAGCCGATTTTCGGGAGAACTGATATCCCTGAGCTCATTAATAACAACTGCGCATGTCAAACTCTGTGGTTTATCACCATGTAAGCGAGCTTCCGATAGTTCATGTTGATGTACTGAATGCTGCAGTTAAGGACAAGGAAACAAAAAAGATTTTAGTGACTTTGATAAAGGTCAAATTGATATGCCCAGAAGACAGGTTTAGAGGAATTCTGAAACGACGGGGTTTGTGGACTGCTAAAGTTCATGTGTGGCGCGTACCTATGGTCAGTGGCCGGAAAAGGTAAAATCAACAACAGCCGTGAAATAATTTGGGATATCAAAACATAGTTACAAGTCGTAATATAACAGCGAGAACTTATTAAATTAATAGCTCAAAACTTTCTATTATGTTAGTTGTTTGTGTTTAGCGGCATATCAAATCCTATGGGCTATTTAATGTCGAAATCTAAATATAGAAATCTAAAATTTATAATTACTTCAAGAGAATACCATTATTTCATGATTAAATTATAATTAAATAGCTGCGTTTGTTTTACAAAAAAATCTTACAAAATCAAACCAAGAGTGAAAACATGTTTATCCTTAAAAGAAATAAGATGAATCATAGCAAACTGTTTTATTTTATTTTATCTGTTTTTGACAATGTATACTGCGCCTTCAATTTTACTATAATATGTATCGTTGTTCATTCTATTATAAAAATCCATTATTGATCATTTTCCTATATAAAAATGTATCGTTGGTCTATTATTATAAAAATGCATTGCTGATAATTCTATTATAAAATCTATTGTTAGTTATTTTGCTTTAAGATTGGCACCGCCACTGAATTTTCGATACCTAATATTTAAAATGATTTTTTTTTAAATGAAAAAGCATTCTTGAAGCTTTGTTTTTAGTTTAACTGAAAGCTAAATGATTAAATTAAACTATTTCCAGTAAACAAAATACTCTGATGTATTTCAAATAGAAATTATATTGATTGGAATCTAAATTTTTTGGTTGCTCTCACAAAATTGGCCATTTTTGACATATTTTGACGCATTTGTAAACAAAAGTTAATTCTCGGTTTTAAAAATCTTCCAAAAATAAAATATACTTATCTGAAACTTCATTTGAGAAATATTAGCTGAATTAAAGCATAAGTAATCTGATTTGAAAAAAAATATTATTTACTTGAAGTTGAAAATAACAAAGAAATGCATTTTTAAAACAAACGGTAGCGGTGATGACGCGCTTATCAGCGTCGCTTGTCACTCATAGATCACTTGACAAGCGATGATAAGATATGTCAACACCTTTACTGTTTCTCTATGAAGGTTTTATCTGTTAAAACATAATTTAAGAAAATGACAGATGTACGACTTTTTTTATATAATTTCTAAGTACTCAATAATCTTAAAAATGTTGGAAAATATTCTCCGTAATCTAATTTTAGGAATGTTGAATTTAAATTTACTATAGTCATCACTCTTATTTTCTGCTTATGTCGTTTCTGGTCAACCATACTTTCAAACAGGAGCTAGTAACATATTTTATATACATAAAATAATACTATTTTTTAAATATTGGGTTTAAACGACTTTTATTGAGCTTTTCAATTTTTGATTCGTAAATATAGTTTTCACTTAATAACAATATTACCTAACAGAATGAAAGTAATGCAGAATTTTAAACGATTTATATTATTATAAATTATTATAATTAAAATTTAAAAAAAAATGAATACAATTCTTGTAAAAATTAATTATTCATCGATTTTTTAAGACAATAGTGTCCTTAATAAATCTTATTTATAAAAGCAGTTAAAAGCTTTTCTAATTAAATAATGTCATAGTTTTATTGCATTACTTATTTTAAGATTCTAAACAGATTTTCGGGAAATAAGTAGTAGTTTGAACAAGAAAAATTAATGATTTACATTCTACAAGGACTACTGCTTTTAACTAATAAATTAACTAATTTTGAGATTGCAATTTAATTTCTCGAAATTTCAAGTAAGGGAGATAACATATGTAAAAAAATATTTTTACCAAGATTTTCTAAAAGAAAAATTTCAAAAACAATTTAATTCATTCGTGAAGGTTTCATCAAAATCAGACAATTATTTGATTTTTGCCAGAATTTTCAAATCAATGTGTTTTTCACTGGAAAAAAACACTAATCGTAAATTAACGTCGACTGCTGACATAAAATAATAAGACTTTTAACCAAAATTTCGAACGTGCTAGATGAGATTACTAAATTTATAAAATAATAAAAAAATACTTTCCTCTTAATAATAACATGAACATTTTGACAATAAAACTTTGTTTTTATTAAGTCCTGGGCTATTTTTCATCATGCCATGCTGTTTTTTTATCGAGCAAGTGGAAGTACCTACTTTAAAATGTATTGTTGATCTATCTATCTATCTATCTAATACTAAAAGTTTGTGATTGTGTGCCTGGTTGTGTGGTGTGTCCTTCCGGCGCATTTTACGAGTTGTTTATACAGTATCTTATTTTATCTTTCTTCCAACAGACATTTTTTTTAATAAAATATTTCTAAGTTAAAGGCAGACACAAAGAGATCCCGCTTTGCTGTTTCGTCCAATTGTTTTTACAGTAATTATTTATATTTCACCTTTCTTTAAACAAACAATATTTTAAACATTTTAAAAATATTTTTAAGTTAATCTGATTTAAAAATATTTCAAGTGAATAAGATTTAAAAATATGAGTTGTTTATACAGAAAATATTTTATTTTAACTTTCTTCTAACAGACAATTCCTTAATTAAAATATTAAAGTTAAAGACAGAAACAAAGAGATGCCGATTTGCTGTTTCGTCCAGTTGTTTGCAGAGTAATTATTTATATTTTGGCTTTCTTAAAACAAATAATATTTTACATATTTAAAAATATTTTTGGCATATTTAAAAACATTTTCAAGTAAATATGATTTAAAGTTCAAGTTTATCCCGGAAGTTCTATTCCTATTAAATGCTGTAAATAATCAGTAAAGCGTTAAACATGAACTTGTAAACCATACCAATGATGACACGAACGAATTGTAATGTTTAGCTAAATCATAATAAAGCTAACTTTCATTTCAATGGTGTGTTGAAATCAACTTCTATGTTTTATAACCTGATCCGCCAGTGACCCAACGGGTCATGTCTAGTCTAGTTTTATTATAAAAATGCATTATTCGTTATTCTTTTATAAAAAGTATTACATGTCGTTTTTCTATGAAAATATATTGTTGGTTATTTTATTGTTTGTTTGTTTGTTTAGCTTCTTATGGGTCATTTAATAACAAAATTTAATTTTATTGAGAGCATTAGTAATTTTCCTTACAAAAATGTATTGCTGGCATTTTTTCAAAACATTTATTGCAGGTCTTTTCCCTATAAAACGTATATTTATACTTTCATAGTGTTTGATCCCAGTTTGGGGGTTAAATATTTACCCATATATAAAACCCTAACAGGTGCTAGCACACCGGGTCCGGGTGGACCTGAGATCAACTGCAATTAAGAAGTGGTTCCATGCCCCGCAAAATCTCCAATCCCCCAAGCAGAGGCCCTGCTGCCGGATGTAGTTTATCGTCATAACCAGGACTAGCTTTCTATGAGGGCGTACTGAAATTACTCAACTTCACCCAATTCCACAGATTGCACCATGTGACCAAAAATTAGAAATGATTTTTTCAAGGTCTTCATAGTCGGATCGACAATTTTAAAGTACCTTCCCGCTTACAGAAAGTTAAAAAAAAATTCGAAAAAATATTTATACTATGTGTATGTATTGTAGTATATTATGGGGAGATGTGGATAATGTAATGTATGTCGTCGCGGAAAGTGAACTCGGCGTGTTGAGTTCAATTTCTGGTTGGTTCTCTTTCATTCCCTTCGAGTAAATGCCCTTGGCAAAGGCATTAATCAATCTTCCATCAGCTATGGATTAAATAGCAGGACATATTAAGTTGTTGTGGAGAAAATAACACACTTCCGGTAATACAACTGAACTAGACAAGACGCCTTAAATAAAGAACTCTAAGTAAGTCAGGGAAGTTCGTTGCAGTCAGAATTTCTGACAGACATCACTGGAAGTAGCCTAAGCATGACATAATTTATAGCCGCTAGGAGAGAGTTATAACATAACTTGCTCTCTTGCTTAGAGGTGGCTACTACTCTAGGAGAAGGAAGAACTCTGAATTCAAAACCAACCTGAATAGAAACGGGTTCCTTCAAGCGCCCGTACGAACACCGAAGTTAAGCAAGGTTGAACCTGGACAGTACCTAGATGCGTGACCACGTAGGAATACCAGGTATGTAAGGTGCGGAGTTGTTAATTAGAGAGACGAATTACAATTCTACTTGGGTTCGTTATATTCTCTTACGCGCAAATACTCGTGGGAAAGGTATGAATTCACCTCTTCTTCCCCAGCTATGGTAAGACTTGTATCATTAATAATACATTATTATCTAAAAACAAATACGTACAAAAAAATTAGATTTCGGTGTTAAATAACACATAGAGGTTGATACACCACTAAATACAAATAACCAACTGATATAATGGAATATGCGTACACCTGTGTTCCCTCTCACTGGAATATGATTGGCTTGTGTCTGTCATAAATACCGACGGACGTGTACGTACGACAGAGTTAAAAGAGCCTTAGTCTGAGAGCTAAGTCTATAACGACGCCCACTGGACTATGCCATTGATCTACACTTCTTACCTACGACTACGACGTGTACCAGTCGATTACTGCTACCGTATTATACTTGGTTATAGTAGCCCAAACCACTTAGATACTTCGTTCAAATATATCCCTTTCCGGGACATATCACCAACTAACAACGTCTGGAGAGGTATGAATCCACCTCTTCTCCCTCCAACTATAGGTTAAATATCAGGGCTAATTGGGCTCGCTTTTGCCTCGAAATGGAAAACTACGAGAAGAAAACTTTAAATTGAAAGCAGGCTTGAAGAAAGACGGGCTCCTTTAGGCTCTCTTGTCCTAGACACACCATTTCTGCAATGGCTGCAGTACATGTAGTGCCCATTTAACCCTAATGTGAAACTTGTTCTGAGACCAAGTTATTTTCATTTGGGTCCTCTTTGAATTTTTATCAAATGAAGAAGTGTTAGTCATTATTAGTTTTTTTTTTGTACTAGTATTCCTTTCATTTTAAATTTAGATACTTTTCATTGCAAATATTCAAACACTGAAGGACCTGCAATCGTTTGTGAAATGGAACAGAAATTGGCTGGTTAGCTTTAATGCCTCTAGAGCAAAACTGCTTTCTATTACTCACCACAGGGAACCATCCCTGCCTCCCATTAGAATGTCTGCTGTTCAACTCCACGTGAGCAACTCTTTGCGATTGCTTGGTCTCACACTGTCCGCTGACCTGAGGGAGAACAATTACATTGAATCAATTGCTTCATCGACCGCAAGGAAAGTTGGTTCTTTGTGTCGCGCCAGAAAGTTTTTTCTCGCGCGAATCCATCCTTCAAATCTATAAATCAACCATTCGCCCTTGCATGGAATACTGATGCCATATATGATCTGGTACCCCCGCTGTTCGCCTTAAAGTCCGCGACAAAACCCAGAGACGAATATGCAATGTAATTGGTCCTGATCTGGCATCTCGTCTACAGTCGCTCTCTCACAGACGTGCTGTCGCTTCCCTCTGTCTTTTCTACAAATACTTTCACGGTAACTGCCCCGACGTGCTACTTTCGCTAGTTCCCAGACTGCATGAATTTAAACGCGCATCTCGATCCCACCCTTTAATTGTCCAAACTGTTAAATGTAACCGCCTTTTCTACTGAAACAGCTTCTTATCTCGCAATTCCCGTCTGTGGAACTCCCTTCCTCTTATTTGCTTTCCTGGTAGCTGTGATCTTCAAATATTCAAATGTAATGTCAATCGACATCTTCCTATGCCTTGATCTAGTTCCCCGTCCTTCTCTTTATCCTTTCCCCAAACAACCCTCTTTACTCTTGCTTTCCCTCTCTGTAACCCCTTGCGTGCTAGTGGCACTCCCAACTTGCTTGGGTTGAAATACTTAAAAAAAAAAGTTTATTTAACCTAAATGCACAAGAGCTTATTTTGTGTTCTTATAAAGAAACTCCATTTGTCGAAAGTAACGAAGCCTTGAATTAAGTCAACAAATCCCGAATGAAAATAACAAACACTGAACAAGCGTTTAACAAATCTATTGAAAAGGTTGTGTACAAGTATCGCTATTGAGAACAAGCGGCTGGATACATGCCATATTGTTGACCTAATATTACAGAAATCTATTTGTGACGTCAGCACGATCAATGACCTAATATTGTTGCGAGAGTATAATGACGTCAGCAAAATAGCTTTTGACAATACATGATAAGAAGAGGCCCTCGCCTGTTTATCCTGTTAAAAGCCAATCCTTAAGGGCTAATCTAATCCGAATTCGAAAACCGTGTCTTATCGCATGTCAAACGCTGTTTGATTCTGCGAAAAATTAATAAACGTTTGTAAATAACAATCGATTCAATGTACTCTATGACAGATTCCGGTTTTGTTAAGAATAAATAATTGTCAAGAAAAGAACAAACACTCACACACATTAGATATATCGTCATCAGCGGCGGCGGTTTTATCTCGTATTCAAGAATTCAATTGCTTCTTTGCTGACCACTTCCTTTATGACGATGGCGTTGATGACTAAATTTACCGCCACCGGTGCAGTTTCAGGACTTGAAGTTTCCAGTTTTACCAAAACCTGTTCCCGTCATACATTCCCCTATCGTTGTTTGGCTTTACAAGAAATTCTTGGAAGTGAAGGAAAATCTAAGTACCGATGACGTGAAGTTGTTTAAGGTGAACCTCGACGTAGTTATATAATGAATGACTAAATGAATGAATAAGAAAGACATGGCAGAAGAAAATCATATATGTATATTGTCGTCGGCACCCGCTCGCATCCCAGCATCGGGATTGTCATCCTCTGTCTCACCCCTCGTGATTTTTTGGTTATGATCCAGCTTGAGATTCCCCACCTCCCCAGTTTGTTTTTTGAGCCCCCCTTTTGATCTCGACTGGGTCAGCTTTATATTTTCCCATGCCCGTATGATTTTTTATCCTTTTCCCACTCCCTTAGCGGGAGCGCCTCTTGACTTTGTCCAAAGGGCAGAATACAGTGACCTCCCTGTTTTGAGGGTTGGATGGGCCCTACTAACATCAGTTATGTTTAATTTGATTTGTGTTTATATTTTAGTTTGTTATTGGGTTCATCTCCCTCCCCTCTCATTTTTTCATCATAGATTTTTATATATATTTTAGCATCAGTAAATTTTTATGTCACGGGGCGCGTTTTGTAGGTCTCCCTAGTAAAAATGAGGTATTGTGGTGTATGGAGGACTGATTGGTGACGGAGGAGTTCTTGTGGTGAATGTGGAAATTGTAATGAATGAATGAGTCGGGAATAGGATTAGCTAGGTATAAGATAGTGAAGACCAGCCTCAACCCCTCCCCATTTTGGCCTTGAGCCATTTGTGTATTTTGCACAATAAATAAACTCTCCCCTCGTGGTGGTAGAGAAGATGTCTGTGAAGGCCCAGCATACTCCTGAAGAGCCAAAGAGAGTTTGACGAGGCCATTCTCCAAAGAGAGTTTGACGAGGCCATTCGAATTTGATTTTGGCGGAAAACTTCGCGAGGGAGAATACACTTGGCCAGAAGCGTCTCCTTCACGGCTCAATGTATATAGTGAATATATATATATATATATATATATATATATATATATATATATATATATACCATGATTTCCTCCAACGTCCATATCTGAAGCGTATCTTAGCATAAACAAATTATGAAATTGACTAAGTCTGACAATTATTTTAATATATTTATTGTTTATAAGTTATTTTTATAGATACAAATATTTAAGTAAATGTTCTGTTTATAATACACAGTATTAACAACATTTACCGGCCTGAATGTCCGAGAAATTTTCATAGAAAATATGTGTCTTTCAACAGGAATCGAACCTGTACACGGAACCGTCATATAGCCTGAAGTGTTATACCATCAAGCTAGAGAGGAAGTGTCTGGTTGGCAAGACATGTCCGTGAAATTTCATAGAAAATATCCGTCCTCCGAGAAATCGAAATAAATCTTGGGAAATTTGTAGTTTAAAAGCAGTAATTAAACCTAGCAAATCCGTAGCTTCCTCTGTAGCTGGCTGGTATAGCACTTCGTCTGATCGTATGGTTGTTATGGGACCTTACCCATAATAACATAATGGTCTATTCCATACATAATAAATACTGCGCCTCGAGAGGAAGCAGGGAGTTCCGTTTGAAGTCTGAGTTCAGTCTGAATTCTAGAGTTCAGTCTGAAGTCTGGAGTGAGGTCCGTCAGGAGTCTGTCAGTCAGTCAGAGCGAGCGAGTCAGTCAGTCGAGTCAGAGGCAGTCCGAAACAGAGTCGCGTTCAGACAATTACTACTAAACCTGATTGTTCGTACTAACACTTTCTACTTCTCTGTATATATTCCTGTTTGTAATATATCTGTGTTATTCCATATCCGTGTTCGAGTTCTTCTTTATTGGTTCTACATTGGACTAACACCGTGGTACAAGGAACCGGACCATAACAATGGCGACGAGCGATTCGAACTCATTCGGTGGAAGAAAAAAAAATTTCGTTTGCCACACCATAACAATGGTGATGAGGAATTTTCTTTCCGGGATATTCGTGTCGAAATTGCCTCTGAACAGGTGTAGATGACTTTGTTGCAAAATACAGTTATACAATCTTTGTCCTCTCTTCAACCGAAAATTGCTCGTAGTGGTCCATCTTGGCATCAAATAAAACCTGCATGTATTTCTCGACGTATTGATAAAGAACTGCAGAAGTGGGACATGGCATGATGCTCGTAGCTCACGACACACAGGACCATAACAGACGACGAGAACTTAGTAGACATTACCGCGGGCTCCTAGGCAGTCACCTCCGTTTCCCTTGTTCACATTCCGGTCCTGATCAACATCCTTTCCATCGGAGAAACCGAAAACACAGATCGTCACTTTCAAGAGTCAACCGAGGAGAAAAATATGTCCCCGACAACTATAAAAAGAGATAAAATGGGTTAAACTGAAAAAAAAGAAGAAACAATTATTTTAGAAAATATAAGCCTTTACTTTTTGTTAGGTACATATTCTATTGTAATCCCATAGATAATAAGTAGGAGTAGCAGTGGCAAGTCTGGAAGAATGGTGTTGAGCGCGTCAGTCGAGATTCGGACATTTGAAGTACCAACCATCACAA